CATTCCCAAATTCCTGAGCATTCCCAAACTGCAGTTGCAATGAGTTCTAAATTGCAGTGCATTCCCAAATTGCAATATGTTCCCAAATTCTACTGCATTCCTAAATTGTAATGCATTCCCAAATTCCAGTGCATTCCCAAATTGCAATTAGTTCCAAATTGCAATGCATTCCCAAATTCCAATACATTCCCGAATTGCAATGCACTCTCAAGTTGCAATGAGTTCCAAAATTGCAGCACATTCCCAAATTGCAGGGCATCCTGAAGCTGCAGTTGCAATGAGTTCCAAAATTCCAATGCATTCCCAAATTGCAATATATTCCCAAATTCCACTGCATTCCTAAATTGCAATGCATTCCCAAATTGCAATGCAGTCCCAATTGCAATGAGTTCCAAAATTGCAGCATATTCCCAAATTCTAGGGCATCCCGAAACTGCAGTTGCAAGGAGTTTCAAAATTCCAATGCATTCCCAAATTGCAATACGTTCCCAAATTCCACTGCATTCCTAAATTGCAATGCACTCCCAATTGCAATGAGTTCCAAAACTGCAGCACGTTCCCAAATTCCTGAGCATTCCCAAACTGCAGCTGCAATGAGTTCCAAAATTGCAGTGTATTCCCAGATTGCAATGAGTTCCAAAACTGCAGCACATTCCCAAATCCCAGTGCTTTCCTAGATTGTAATGCACTCCCAAATCCAATACATTCCCAAATTTCAATACGTTCCCAAATTGCAACGTGTTCCCAAGCTGCAACGTTTTCCCGAATTCCACTGCACTCCCAAATTGCAATGAGTTCCAAAATTGCAGCACATTCCCAAATTCCTGAGCATTCCCAAACTGCAGTTGCAATGAGTTCCAAATTGCAGCACATTCCCAAATTGCAATATGTTCCCAAATCCTGGTGCATTCCCAAATCCAGGAGCATTCCCAAATCCCAGTGCCCCCCCAGACAGCAGGTCCCTGCCTTGTGGCCGTGCCGGAGGCTGGACACCTGAGGCTCTCCCTCCCAGCTCCTGCAGGACCGTGACCTAAATCCCCTAAATTTGCCCTAAAACACCCTAAAATGTGGCTGGATGCCCCTCCCTGCCCCAAACCCTCCTCCCCAGAGCTGCTGCCCCCCGCCCTGTGGGGAAACTGAGGCAGGAGGGGCTGGGATTGCCTGGACCAGGCAGAAACCAGGTGGGGTTGGGCTTCTTCCTTTTTTTTTTTTCCCCCTCTTCTTTCTTCTCCGTTTAAAAATAAATCAGTAGAATTTAATTACGGGCAGCTTTTATTCTTTACTCCTCAGGCTCCAACGGGCTTTGTTGGGTTTTTTTTTTTCCTTTTTTTTTTTTTTTTTTCCCCCATTAGTTGGTTTG